CCGCGGGGCGCCTCCCGCCCGCTCCTATTGGCTGCTCGCCCCGAGCTGCTCCCGCCCCTTCCGGCCGCTTCCGGCGCGGGGCGCGGGCCGGGGCGGCGGGCGGCGCGGGCGGGTTTGAACCGGGGCGCGGGCCCGGCCCCGCCACCCCCGGCCCCGCCATGGACTTCTCGGAGCTCTTCAAGCTCTCCGGGCTCCTCGGCAAGTTCTCCCCCGACGGAAAGTGCCTGGTGAGCAGGGGCCGCCCCCTGCGGTGGGGAAAGGAGGGGAAGCGGGGGGTGGGGGCAACCGGGGCTGGTCCCGCCCGCGGCCTGAGGGGGCCGTTGGGCGAAGCGGCGGCGCGGGGACCCTGGGCCCGGGCCTGGCCATCGCCGGGCACCGGCTTCGTGTGTGGTACGGCACGGGGACCTCGGGGAAACCCCTCCGGGGTAGAGCAGGGCCCCCACCGGGGTCGGTCCCCCCCCGCGGCCCGGGGCAGGGTCCCCCCGGCCTTCAGGCCGCCCGAAGCGGGCGCCGGAGAAGGGGAAGTAGCAAGAATTTATCCGTGTGTGCGGGCCGGCTGGCTTGCCAAGAGGCTTTTAGTCAACAAGGGTCTCTGTAATGGAGACCTGGTTAAGGTTAATCAATTAAAATAATATAGAAGAGCTGGAGAGGGACTCTTTGCCAGGAAGGGTAATGATAGGACAAGGGGAAACGGTTTTAAATTGGAAGAAAAAAGATTCAGATTAGATCTCGGGAAGAAATTGTTTACTCTGAGGGTGGTTTGACACTGTAACAGGTTGCCCAGGGAAGTTGTGGATGCCCCATCCCTGGAGGGGTTCAAGGCCAGGCTGGATGTGGCCTTGAGCAACCTGCTCTGGTGGGAGGTGTCCCTGCCCAGGGCAGGGGGGCTGGAACTAGATGATCTTTGAGGTCCCTTCCAACCCAAACCATTCTATGATTCTATGATTATGAGGCAAAGAATATTTTTTTTTTTTAAAGTAGAACTAATTAACCGGGAGGAATGAGGATTCTTTGTATTAATGCACCCCTCCCGCCCTCCTTCCCTCCCGGTTTAGCTATTTGTGCTGTAGTTTGCAGCACAGCACGTGTTAAGCCTTGTTGAAATTAAAGCCCCCCCACCCCCAGCACAGCGCTGGGTCCCAGGGGGGGACGGTTGTGGTCCTGGGGGGGTAAAGGCGGGGTCGGTGCCCAGCTCAGCTCTGGGTTTGCTCCTCTCCAGGCGTCGGGGGTGCAGTACCGCCTGGTGGTCCGGGATGCCAGCACCCTCCAGGTCCTCCAGCTCTACACCTGCCTGGATCAGATCCAGTACATCGAGTGGTCCTCGGATTCCCTCTTCATTCTCTGCGCCATGTACAAGCGCGGGATCGTTCAGGTGAGGACAGACAGGAGCAGGACAGAGTGTGTTTCCTGCTGGGGCTGTGTTTATCTGTCTCTGTGTGTGAGCTCCTAACGACACCCCTTCAGTGCTTTTGCTAAAGTAACCGGCGCTGACGTTGATGCCACCTGGTTGGAGGATAACCCAGCAGGCCAGTATTTTTAAAACCACGACAAACATAATCATTTGAAAAATAAAAAAAAAATAAAATCCCCACCACATATAGAATAAAAATATTTGTCAAAACAAATCAAAGCTGGAGATTGTCTTAGCGAATTCTTAGTTCACTCGGAAATAAAAATATGCAAAGTTGTTAAATGGGATAAAACTATTTTTTTTTTTCAAATGTTGTTTGTTCAGAATATTTGTCACAGAAAAAAAAAACCCCAACAGCAACAACCCACCTTACTTCCCAATTTGTGTTAACACACTGAGGTGTGGGGCTTACTTTTGTAGTGGGATCCAGCGCCAGTCCTTCATGGCCGTGGGGTTTCAGAGGTCCCCTGAGCTCCTGGGTAGGTGGTGTGGGAAGGTGTTCTCAGCTGCAGGGTGCTCTCTGAGCAGAGGTTTGATGAGCTGTTTGTTCTCCTGGTGTCTGTTTGGTTCCCTCCTCACCCCAGGTCTGGTCCCTGGAGCAGCCTGACTGGCACTGTAAGATAGACGAGGGCTCGGCGGGGTTGGTGGCTTCATGCTGGAGTCCGGATGGTCGTCACATTCTCAATACAACTGAGTTCCATGTAAGTGTGAAGTCATGATTACTCTCCACGGTATCAGATGTTGCTGTCTGCCCTTTGCCTCTTAAAATAACCTAAAGCTCTTAAAGCTGTAGTGGTGTTAAGAATGCGGATACAGTTCTCCTAGATTCGTATATGTAATCTAGATTAATTCCAGTTTAGAGGTTAGTTCTTCTGTTAACGTTTTTTCCTCTTGCTTCTGGTGATAAGATAGAAAATGGACACTTAGCTTTGAAGGTAAAAATTAGGTGAGAGAAACATAGGGACAACTGGCACTCATTGGAGCAATTTTCAAAGTCAAATGTGTTGTTTGTAGCTCAGGCAAAGCTCGGAATTTCTAGCAAAAAAACCAAAACCAAACCATAAGCATTTAAGAGTGGTTGTGGAATTAAAAAATGTGGTCTTAGGTTTATTGACTTGAGATTTAAATCCAGATCCTGGAAATCAGTGTTTGATCTTACACATAGGAGTCAGACTGCTGTTGATAGAACCACTTGCAAAATTAGAACACCTGTAAGTGCTGGTTGATTGAGAGCCTTATTCTGGGGTCCACACGAAGGTAGAATCCAGGTCAGTTTGTGGGTGCTGGACACTGGGCTTGTTGGGAGGCTTGTGGGAGTCTGACTCACCACCTTTACGGTCTGTGGATTAGAGCTGATGGTTCATGTTATTCAGTACAATGAGAAATGGTCAGAAAATAGCAAAGAACTACACACAAGACGTTTTTCTCTTTGCTGTATTTAATCTTTTCAAAACTGTAATGAATTTTAGATGACAGGTTATTGTGTCACAACCCTCGCTAGCACTGAGTTCAAATGTTACACTGCAAGATTTCTCTTTTTTTTGGTGCAAATCCCAATGTCAATGGGATACAGATGGGGGACTTTGTCATCTGTGTTAGTGCAGATGCTGGTGCTCTCAAGGGAACCTGTGGAGAGACATGCATACAGCTGTGATGAAGTTCCTGATGCACACATTCTCTGCCAAGGATGTTTCGTGCTGGCAGGAATTTTTAGTGCTGACTGGGGTTGAGATTTTCTGGCTGTATTTTCTGTTTTTCCATTCCCCGACCCCTTTAGATAGTGGGTTTGGAGGAGTGATAAACTTAGGCTTTGGTTTTCCCAGGAATGAATCACCCTGATAGTATTAAAACAAAAAAAAAACCAAAAAGGGTCCAGAGTTTCCCCCCGAAATCAGTGGAGATGTGGGTGCTGGTCAGGCAGCAGTGCTGTAACCCAAAGGGAGGGCTGGGGCTCTGGGCTCCCAGCGAGTCTCTCGTGGCACGTGCGTGTGGGGGTGGACTAGCAAGTATTTATTGCCTCCCAACAGAACTTGGTTTGACCTTAGAGGATTTCATTAAGCCTTTGCCAAGTTGGCATCTGTGTTGGGATAAGTTTTCTTTCCAGCTGTAAACAGGTTGCTAAATTAGCTTTTGTCAGACAGCTGCCGGGGCCGTGCCGCTGTCTGAGTTGTGTTTACCCTCGCTCTGCTAAATCCACAGTCTGGTGGGACAGACGTGAGTAGGGCTCGAGACACAAACTGTCAGGATACCTGATCTCGGTGTGTTATGTGTGTTAGCAAACTCGGTGGTTGCTTGGAGGGCTCAGGGCTTCCCCGTCGACCGCTGCAGCTTGGCTTTGGGAGCCTGACATTTTCAAACAGCGCCAACTAATTACTCATACTTGTAATTCTGCAGGTCAACACGGGAGCTCCACTGTAAGCTCACAAATAACTTTCTTATTTCTAGATTTTTATTTTTTTTTTTCAAGGATATGGTTGTGTTAACTTATTTCTAGCCATCCGTACTTGCTAGTGCCTTAGAAAAATTACTCATCAGCTAATTTGCAGTCACGCTCTTTTCGTGGTCAGCATTATATCACTGTAGAGAGGTTGGTGCTGGTCTCTTCTCACAGGTAATTAGTGACAGAACGAGAGGGAATGGCTTCAAGCTCCAACAGGGGAGGTTTAGACTGAACATTAGGAAGGAATTTTTCCCCGAAAGAGTGGTCGGGCATTGGAACAGGCTGCCCAGGGAGGGGGGGGAGTCCCCATCCCTGGCTGTGTTTAAGGGCCGTTTAGATGCAGTGCTGAGGGACATGGTGTAGGGGAGGACTTTGTAGAGTAGGGGAGATGGTTGGACTCGATGATCCCAAGGGTCTCTTCCAACCTGAACGATTCTATGATGAATAGTGTGAGTTTTGGTGTGACTGGTGTGCAACTCCTGAGTGGAGGGGAGTGCAACAGAATAAGGATCTCTTCCAACCTGAATGATTCTATGGTGAATAGTTTTGGTGTGACTGGTGTGCAGCTCCTGAGTGGAGGGGAGCGCAGCAGAATTCTGACACACCTTTCCAAAGTCTGTTTTGACTCAGTTCAGGCTTTTGAGATGGGCAGCATCTCAAAAGATGGCACTTAATGTTACCATAGCTCTGCAAATGCCATCGTTTTATTGGAGATGAGTCTGTAATAACGTGCAGGTTTTGGGGTCCCAGAATTGTTACACAATGTACAGTAATGTATGATAATGGCACAGGTTCCTGTCTAAATCTTTACACAGTCACTGCAATAAACAGCATGATTTATGAAGCAACTAAATGGTACAGTCTTACTGGAGGAAGCATATAAAGACTCCATTTCACACGATAGTGGATGTTTTTCCACAATATTGGATTACTGATGGATGCAGAGGAATTTACTGTGATTAATTACAAAGGTGTGTGTAGCTCCTTGCCCCAAAATTTCGAAAGCATCTGTCTGCTGTATGTCAGATTGCGTTCTGTTTGGAGGGGTCATTCTGTCAGTGTCTAAGATGGAAAGTCCTGCTGAGATGTAGAAAAGACGTAGGCTTGTGCCTTAAACTCTTGCTTATTTTGTAGTGGGTGCTCTCCTGCTCAAATTCGCTCCATGGGGTGGTTCTGTGTGTCTGCAGTGTGGAACACAGCACAGCCCATTGCTAGAAAATTCCACATTATTGGTTTCATCTGTAGGTGGTGTCGTCCCAGGTGTCTCTCCTCTTACAGTGCCCTCATTCCACCTGAATTCCTAGGCACAGGTAGGGCTTAAACAAGAGCTGCAGATAAAAGATATGAAGAAATTGAATGGATCCTCTGCTTCCTCCTGATTCCTGTCTTTTGAGATAAATAGTTTGAAGATGAGCAGTGTTGTTCTTGAGTGTTTCTTTAAGAGCCGTTCTTACAAACTACATATATTGTATTTTTCTCTACTTCCATTTTAGGTACTGAAGCATTAAGAAGCTTCTTTCGTACTACAGCAGCGGGGAAAAAAAAGTGTGTTTCTGTGTATATTGGCTCTAATCCTTAGTAACTGTAAATGGCTACATTGGTTGAAAAATGCTTTCTGTCCAGGAATGTGCTCCGAATAATCTTCTGAAATCCGGTGCTGACAGACACTGCTATGTAAGGGGGCCTTGTGACCCAGTCAAGTCTGGGACAAAAGTTGACAGTCATTTGAGATGCAAGGTTGTTTAAAAGTGTGTTTTTATCTATTGAAAATCACCAGTCCCACACCTGCCTGTAGCTGTCAACATGGGGACGTAGGCCTGAACCCGGCACTGCAGACTGTTTATCACGTTACCATCTAAATACTTTTTATTTCTCAGCTGTTTTTAGGCTATTTTAAAAATGCTTCTGCTTTTGGTTTGGTTTTCCACTGCAAAACAACAGCTGAAAACTCCTCAGACACCATTATCGTTGGGATTTGAGTTTGACAACTCCACTTAATCGAGTCATCTGCTCCAAAGAGTAAGTTCCCCTGGAAAAGAGCAGTGAAGAAGTGCTCAGGGCAGACCTAATTCACCACAATCTGTCCTCCTGCTGGAAAACCCATGGTCCCTTCCCCACAAAGTCTCTGGGAAAAGCAAATAAGAGCAAGGCAATTTGTTGTAATTTTGGAAGTGTTTGGTTTTCTTTTTCTCACCCTGTGTGCATCTTATGTTTCTGTCTGTCATCTCTGCGAGCTGTGAAATCCTTCTCTGGTTTACACTGGCAGCTTGGGCCAGATTGTGGAGCAGTGTTTCAGTTGGGAGTGAGAAGGTTCCCCCCTTTTTGTCACAATTTAATTCTAAACATATTGTTAATCCATGGAAGATAGGTCAGAGGTCTGTATGTTAAGCACATAAACATTTTTATGAACTGAGAAAGTTACACTGAGTGTACACAAATAGAACAACTGAAAAGAATCCTAATTTGGGGACTCAAAATGGTTTGCTTTTACATGTTTCTAACACTGGGCCAGAATTTGAGGTTTTGTGCTGGGTGACCTGGGCGAGAGGTTGCAGTGAATCAGGGCAGAGCAGATCTGGGATGTTGGATTTTTTGGGGGGGTCTCCCCTCACTGTGCACAGCCCCCTTGGAGAGAGTGCCTGGAGGGGGGCAGAGGAACTTAATATTTGTTATGGGTCCATTGTGACTGCTTTAGGTCAAATCTGAAGTGCTTTGGTTATGAAAGAGTTGGAGGCAGCCAGTACAATAATAGATCTTCCAAAGGTGTATTTTTGTGAGTTTTTTTTTTATAAACAGGGTAAACACTCTCCCCTGGGGGTGTGCTGGTTGTGTTCCACAGTCCCTCCCCAGCCACAATGGTGATATTGCCATTTCTGCTGTACTAGAAAACAGGGCTAGAAATGATGTGTGGGGAGGTCCATGGGGCAATACAGCACTACCCCAAAAATGTCAGCATTCAGTGTCACTGAAACTTCCCGTGGCCATGCAGCACACACTCAGTGTTAAGAACAAGATGACAAGAATGAACAGGGAAAACAGGATTAGTGTCTTCTGTGGGGAGTTACAGAACTGCACCCTTTTGAGAAAATTCTGTCTGAACAGCACAGAGAGGGCTGCACCCGAGGCTGAAGCAGAGATGGATGCAGAAAGACTTATTCAAAAACCAAGGTGTAGCAGAGATGGATGCAGAAAGACTTATTCAAAACCAAGGTGTAGATGCATTTTCTCTTCTGTGGTGGAGCCAGAGGTGGCAGTAGGAGCTCTGCCCCTGATGTGCTGTGTCTCACCACTGAGATTTCCCTTTTTGGATGGACTTGAGCTCGATGTGAGCCTTGTTCCAGGGCTCTGAGCCAGCCCCTGTGGTCCAGCAGAGCAGCAGTTTGGTGCGTCAGGCCAGGTGAGTGGATGGTGAGGCCAAGGAGCAACAAAAATGTAAACTTGGATGCCTTTGGCAGGAAAAATTCTGCTCCAGACCTCAGCATGCGAGGCGTGCAGCTGCTAAGCTGGTATTAAGTGGCTGTAGAATGCATGCTGTGTGTTTTGGGGCAAGGGAGGGATAGCAGCAAGTTCATTTAACGCTGCAATTAATAGGAGGCAGCAGCATATCACTGGTGCAGTTGCTGGAGAGGAATGTGAGTAGGCATTGTGTTGGTATTTTTAAAGTAAATCTTGCCCGAGGAGCAGGCTAACAATGCTGTGTTCTGGTGTGGCCGGAAGTGAGCAGTTGCAGTGATAAAAGTTGATTAATGTTACTCATCTCGTGGAGTCCTCCAGGAGCTGCTAAACTTCAAGGTGGTACTATAGATGTCTGGCTGTAATTTAATACCTGTGAAATAAAGGGAGAGCATAATAAAGACTGCATTGAATAGGGATCCGTTACTTTTTCTAACTTTGGAGAGAAGCAGAGTGGGATCTGATCTGGTTGTGCTATTTCGTAGAATAAATTTTAAAAAAAAATAATAATTGATTTGTGTTGGCTCTTCAAATTTCAAAAAATTTTCTTCTGTATATAAAAAGCAGTAGGAGGAAGAAGCAATGCTGCCCTTTGGCTCTGGGACTCCCTGTATCTCTGGAGGGAGGCAGTGTTTATTAGGGTTCTGTGACTTGGTTTGGACACCATGACAATTCCTTGAATCGTGTTTTCTGGCAAAAAAATGACGTGAGCAATGAAAAAACCTTCCAAGTTCTGTTGCAGCGTCCAGTCCATAGTGTTGCCAGGTGGAAGACACATTTGGGATGCTGCTGCCTTGGGGTCCTGTCTCACCATTGAATGGTACCAGGGAAGAAAAATGTGCATTGAGAACAAACATGCAAAAAAAGCAGAGCAGAAACTTCCTCCCAAGCCTGGGGTTCGGTCTGCACCCGGCGCAGGAGGATGAGGAGATGGTATTCAGAGCTGAAGTTTTACATATATAATGAATTGGAACTAATTTTGTGCAGTAGCTCCTGGGAAAGGTAGCTTTATGACTGTGCTGCTTTATTGCGAAAATAGTTTTACCTGCGTCTCTTCTAGAAATCTCTTGGTGCAATAAAATGTAGGAAAACAGCAGGAAAAAAAAATAAAAATTTTACTCTGGAAACATTCCTCACTCCAGCTATAAATGCAAAGGTTCACATGACATTCTGATTAATGCCCATATGTCTGGGGTGGCTGCCGTTGCTAAGGGAGAGTAAGTATTTGTTTTTAATTGAATAATCTGCAGATGGCAACGCAGAGCTTCCAGAATGCGGGCTGTGACCTTGGAGAGCTGTGGAGAGGCTTGTTTTGCAGCTGACGGCCTTTCCCCACAGTTTTCATGTTTTATGGATGCACGAGCCTCCAGAAATACCGCAAATGGGATGCTTAATGCCTCGCTTTGCATAGCGGATTTTGGCTCTTTTCTCATTCTTTCAGTGATCGTGTCATGTTGCCTTCTCCTGGGTGGCTGAGGAGGGAAAAGCAAGATGCAAATGAACTTATCAAAGCTGAGCGTGTCTAAAAGTTGAAAAAGAGAGCTAAATTTTCATGCTTAACCTTGTCCCAAGAGATACCATGGTCTCAGGCTGCTGTAACCTCTCATCCATTCCTAAATGCAGGAAACTTTTAATCTCTCTTCCAGATTCTGTGATGAAACTGTGTTTTTTTCCAACTGTGTACGATCCATCGGCGGTTATGTCACTAGACTCATGCCAATATCAGTTACTTTAATGGTGATGAAGAGCTTTTCCCCATGTTTCTGTGCTTGTGGTGTTCATTTGGAATATGCAGCCTTGTGAACTGAAGGCAGTTGGGAGAGAATTCCTCACAGTTACTTCTCAGGGCTTTGTGTTTGAGCTACATGGAATAGCTGCAGAGTTTAATTAGCCACAGAAGGTGTATTGATCTACTCTGTGGTGTTGAATTAAGTTTATGGGTTTCTATTTACTTAATTTTTTTTTTGTCTATAAAAAATAAACAATTTCCTTGTCTCTTTCTCTTTGCCAGCTGCGGATAACTGTGTGGTCCTTGTGTACGAAGTCTGTGTCTTACATCAAGTATCCCAAAGCTTGTCAGCAGGGTGAGCATCACAAATCTAACGCAGGAAGGTTTGTTTTTTTTAATATGACAGAAAGGGAAGACTGAATTTGGTGTGTAATGATAAAACACGTGTTTCAGAGCAGGCTCTGCACCCTCCCTGCTGAGGGGTTCACTCCCCGTGGGGATACGTGTCCCGGGTGACCCCTGAGTAGTCACATTCTCCACGAATGAAGGATTTCCTCTGATCCATGTGCCTGCTCTTCAGATGTGCATCGTTCTGTTGTGTTTGCCTCCCAAGGCTCCTTTGAGACATTCAGTTGAGCTGGATGCATTGGTGATGAAAAACACTAATTCAAAGTGGCTTCTGTCATCTTTTACACACAAAAAAATGAGAGGGAAGCCCGTGGCAGGGCTGTCCAGCCACTCAGCTGTGGTTAGCAGTTTCCAGCCTGGGGCTTGTGTATAGTTAATAGCCCATACAGGAGAAAGACAGTTATGCATTGCCTGTGAAATGAGAGTGACTGGGGACCCGTGCCAGAATTTGGGGAGTTGCAGTGCCTGCATAACTGCTCCCTTTAGCCAGACTGAACGAACTGGTGGTTTGAAATCTGGGGGTTGTATGTAACGACTGTCTGTCAGTAATCAAACCTGGCTTTCCATAGCATGCTGAAGTTCTGCAATAGCCAGGGAGCTGCATCCTTATATTTGGAGTTTAAGAATTGCCAACACAAGCAAATTAGTAAAACCATGCATCGCTTTGATT